TGTCTGGTCCCTCTCAGTCCTGAGAGCGAACACACTCCCAAAACAAAGAGCACAAACAAAAGCCTCCCCCCCCCCACAAAAATTTGAAAGTATCTTTTCCCCTTATTGGTCCTTTAGGTCAGATGCCAGCCAGGTCACCTGAGCTTCTTAACCCTTTACAGGGAAAAGGATTTTGGAGTCTCTGGCCAGGAGGGATTTTATAGTACTGCACACGGGACAGCTGTTACCCTTCCCTTTATAGTTATGACACATACAAATAGGATAATCATATTCAGCAAATCATAACTTTTCCAATGACCCCCCACATTACTTATCTTGCATTAAATACATCATAATTATGTTATAATCATATCATAACAATATCCCTATGAAGAATATGGGGTGCAGTGTCACAGCAGGGCTCTACAGTCTAAGAACAGTGATAAAAACACCTGAGCCTTGCTGTGCTACAGCCTCCAGCTTTTCAAGCACAATGCAGTTGCATTAGTGGAGAATTATAGATCTCCCCTTTACATTGTGGTCAAGGCCTGACAATTTAGGCTAAAACCCAGCTGCCTCATTAGTTTATTAACTCCTCAGGGCAGGTATTGTCTCAGACCCTGTGTTTGTATGGTGGCCAGTACAATGTGGCTTTGTTCCTTATGGGAGGCTATGGCAATAAATAAAATAGCTAGTGTTATTTCGCGGAGTGCATTCTCTTCTGCTAATGGGATACTATACCTCCATGCTTAGAGGAACACAAACACAGCAATATTCTCTTCCTACTGCCCCAGAGGAGAGATGCTAACTTTTAGCAAATATTCTTTCCTTTCCCAGAGGAAAATGCTGTAATGCACAGTTCCGTAATAATAATTCCTACTGAGGGATCCTTCCTCTAGACAAAATGTGCTGCTTGCACTTTCACACTTTGAGCAGCGGTACTTCAGGTCCTCCTCAGGGGACAATGGTTGCTATTAAAAAGAAAAAAGTAAACATGTAGCTTTCTTTAAAATTATTCTAATTAATACTACATTGAATCTGGGATTGTAGGATAGGATTCTCAAAAGTGCCTAAGTGATTTGAAAGTCAATAGAACAATCTTCTAGATTATTTTGAAAATCACAAATAGTCAGAAAATTTAGAGTTACAGTTCCCATAATCTAAATACAAAACTATTCATTCTTGTCAACAACACAGTTCAGCACAGGCAGCAAGCAATGGCCTCAGAGGAGACAGGAGATGGTGTTTAATCCATCTCCTAAAAGAATACAAAAGCAAATTTGACAAACTAAAGAAATTCATTAAGCCCTGGTCCTGCAGACAATTATAGAAGTGAATAATTTTATTCCAACTGAAATGAGTGGGATTATTCCTGTGCATAAATGTCTGCAGGACTGGGGTCTGGACCTGGAATCGGAGTAGTAGCTGTATTCTTCCCTTCTCATGCATTATCACCAGTAGTAAAAAGGCTGCTGGCTAAATCCTACACTTCTTGACACCAGTGTAACCCCACTGCTGACAATGGATTTACACTGATGTAAGTCACTGGAACCTAGTGAACAATTCTGTTGATATCCAATAAAATACAAATAATTCATAGCATTTATATGCAAAAAGGAATAGAATCCAGACCACTGTCTTAGATTAATTGATTCCACAGAAACTTTTAGAAACTTTTGTGATTGATGTTTGTTACTTTATACACAAGGGGCAGTCACTTTTAAGTTTAGAACCATATGTTAATGTCACTCAGAGAAATTAGTGATGAATTGCATTTAGCTTCAGCCAAAAGATCTAACAACTGCTTTAGATTTTTAAACTTTGGAAAAAGACTAGATCTCTATTAAGATCCTTTAATACTATTTTTAGGTTGAGGACTGTTTTAGATAATTGCAGCTTTTATTAACCTACAAAGGATATTGGCAAAACAATTTTCTGTTGGCTAATAGCTGCCTGAAATAGCAGGCCTAAACATTGATGGTGTTCTGTAACTTGTTTGTACAAGTATAAATATTTTAGTAATTACACACCAAGTGGATCAGAATTTTCTTTGTCTTTCTGGGGTAAGCAGCCTAAAGTTTCTTAATATAGAAGCAACTATTTTCAAAAGTACTGGCAGAGCCAAGCATCTTATTTTTAGATTTCCTTCCGGCATCAAAGCGTGTGAACTACCTTGTGGATCTTATAGGAGATCCTGATTTCTCAGACAATGTGTTACTCTTACCTCTAAACAAGTCAGGAATAGGGCTGGTCAAACAATTTCCCATCACAACTGTTTTTCAGTGAAAAATTGGGTTGTCAACTAAACAAAATTTTTCATGAAAACCA